CTTGTTTCCATCTCAATAGCCTTCATTCATTTAGCACCCTTGCTAGATCCTATCACTTAGATATTAATGTTTATTTATATATTATCACTTATCTTCATAGTATTGTAAGAAAATATTATAATGGTAACTATTTTACAGACAAACTAAAGCTCAGACAGGTCAAGGTTATATAACTAACTAATAAATTAAGGTGTCAAGATTTGAACCCAGACTTTGCTGATTCCATAGCCTCTTTCTGTTACACCCCACTGCAGTCTTGATAGGTTCCATGTTTATTTCCTATTCTATAAGACTTCTCAGTAGGTTTCTCTACTGGTATCTTGTGGTTTCATCCTCATTTGGCAGCCTGGTCTCTAAGGAAGGCCATACATGTTGCCCTGGCTAGAGTGGGCTAGTGTCAGACTTCTGTACTTTCCCCAAATATGTTATATACTTTAGATGTCGTTTCAAACTGAGGAGAAGATAATGAACGCAGATTTGCTGTCAGGTCACATCCTGTTACTTAGTTGTCCCCTCATTCTCATTCTCCCAGGAATTCAGTCCAGCGGAGATTTGGACTGAATCTCTGGACTGTCTTCAGAGCCCAGGAAGTACCTACTCCTATTTCAAACTGTCCCAGCAGAGACCAGGCAGTTTTTCAGGCACAAGGTAAAGCCCTCTTACATCAAGACTAGATAGCCATTGCCAGGAACTTTTCTAGCTTGGCAATCCTCCTTTGCTGCTATCTTCAGGCAAGACTTATTTCCCATTTCAAAGGTCTTGCTAAAAAATATAAAGGTGGGGCACAGGGTACTGAATAGTCTTTTGGGAATGCCTATTATGTGTGCTAGAGGAAGAGGGTGTTTTTGTGTGTGTGTGTGTGTGTGTGTGTGTGTGTGTGCGCGCGCGCGCCTGAAACCTCATCAACAATTTTGAACTAAATTTTTGCTCTGGGATCTTGTTGCTCCCTGATGTGGCCAAGAGCCTCCCAACTTGTATCATGCGAGGCCAGGCCTCTGCTCAGCTTTTCTTTAGTATAACCTGTATCTGCCTGAACTACTAAGATTACTAAGGTTGGCAGTGGGTACTGGCCATTCTCTGACTTCTGGTTGATGCATTGTCAGTTACACTCAGGACATGGGGTCATTATGGGAAGCCTGCTTTTGTATTGTATAGAGAGTACTCTTCACCAGAATGTGCCACAAGCTAATGGAGATGTGTAAGGCCCCAGCTCCTGGTTTATGGTTAGAACTACCTGGGGATAAGCAGAACTACCAAATGGCCTGTTGTCACCAGAGGAGGCTTTCATCATAAAATTAGTAACCTTTCATTGCTTGTTATTAATGTGCCAGGCATTGGACAATCTTATCTCATTTCATCCTCACATCAGCTCTATGAGGAAGAGTGTTATCCTTTTACAAATAAGAAAACTGAGGCTCAGAGATTAAGTAGTGTGTATAAGTTTACAGAGCTACCTGTGGTTGATCTAGGAGTAAAATTCAGGTCTTCCTAACCTCAAAGCCTATGTCTTCTCCAGAGACCTCAGGGAAGGAGTTTAGGTCCTCTCCCTCACTAATTTATTCTTCCCTCACCTGAGACAGAGTGTTTCAAGATATCTAATGAGATCTTTGAAACTGAGGTCATTTGTGCCTTCCACTTAAATCCAGAAGATGTTCCTTCGTGGTGAAGAGTCATTTATGCACATAAGATCTTTGGGGACAGTTTGAAATAGGAGTAGGCACTTCCTGGGCTCTGAAGACAGTCCAGGAACTATCCAGGTTGCTGTATAGCCATTGGGACGATAATGTTTCCATCAGTTGTATGTTATTTTCAGGAACTCAGAACTTTTATTCCCATGTAATGTTTGGAAAGTGAGTTCAACTTCCACCTTTCAGAGAGAACCCCTCTTGAAGTTCCACCTCAAAAAGGTTAGGTAATTGTCTGAGATTCCACAGTAAGAGTGAAACTCCCAATTCAGTTTTCTATCAGACCTTTTTGCCAGGACCCAGGTTCCCATGGACTAAGCATCACAGGTAGGGGAATAAGGACTCCTTAGAGAGCATGTGGCAGATAGGTGACTTACTGCCTTTAGAGCTACATTGAACTGAGGTGGACAAGGTTCTAGGAAGCTCACAAGCCCAACAACTGGTAAACAAAGGTGGCTCTGTTAGGGTATATACTATACCTGATGGATTAGGGAGAAATGTCCATCTAGGAAGGGCCTTTGAAGTTGCCAGGAAGCCAGAAATTGAGACGGCAAATTATGATAAAGCCTAAGGCCTTTAGGCACAAGGGCTCTGGTAAATTGTTCTCTGTGTAACTACCACCTTCACCACATCTCAGGCCAGTGTTGAGGGTGAGGCCCAAATGGGACATGTTCCTAAAGTCCGTAGTTACAGAAAGGAACGTCCCAGACTAGGAGGGAGTTGCTAGTGTTCTGGAGTTCAAAAGGGCTGGGACCCAGACCTGAGTTTAGAATGTTTTCTTCTCTTGAAAGAGAAGTGATATGGACAGGAAATAACAGGAGTTAGGTGAACACAAGAAAGGGCCAGAGAAGGAGAAGGTGACCCTAGGCAGTGTCTGGACAAGGGGAGAGCTGAGATCATGCTGTAAGTCCAGCCAGGCCTCTGGTTTCCTTCCAAGGAGCTGATAGCTCAGGGGCCATTTCTGCTTTCACTCCATGTAAGAAACTGAACTAAGCCGTTCCAGCAAAAGCCAGCTTTATTGGGAAAGGAAAAATCCCTGTGCTGAGTGATATCTTATACCTTCCACTCTGCCCTGGCAAAAAGAGAGAATGATCAAGGTGGCCTTGCCTGAGGCTCTCAGGACATAGCATCTCTTGACATGCTCTTTCTTCTTCTCAGAAGTTGGCTTCAGCATGGTATTTGTCCTTTGGTACCTGACTCCCCTTAGTAAAGGCTGAGTCCAGGTTACTGGGTCATAGCTATTGCTGAAACTGCCCGGAGTTCAGGGATTAGAAAAGCAGGTATTATTTTATTCTGCCTGATTCCTGGGGGCTGATTCCATCTTACCTTTTTTTGGAACTTTGCCTTTTTGTGGGCTGGAGTCCTCTACTTCCGAGAGAAGACCTTGGCTGTAGAAGTTTCAGCCATGAGCACACCTGTCATATGTGAGAGAGCCAGATGACTTCTTGGGTGACTAGCATCGCTCAGTTGTGGTCCTCCTGCCAACAGAACTAACAAATAGAAGCGAAGAAACCAGTCTCTACTAGAGTCTGTGGGACATAGTTTGGCAAAGTGACCTTGAAGACTGGGATGTCTGGAGGAAAAGAGCCCGAGTCTGGACCAGAGCTTTGACATGATTGTCCTTCCCAAACTCAGGAACACAAGTCTTTATTCTCCATCCCTACCCTCTCCTCAGGAATTCTTGGCAGGCAGATATATTTGCCACCAGGTGCAGTCTGCCCTGAAATAAGACTGAATTGATGAAGGGAACAGCCCAGAGGCACCTTTGTACCCCTCAGGAATGCATTCTCAACCCCTCTGATCAGTCTTGACTCTAGCTTACTCCCTTCAGCCCTGCCTTCTGTTAGAGCTCAGCCTCCCTTATCATACTCATTCCTCGCAAGACTCCTGGCTGAGCTGGGAGCTCTCCATGACATCATACACTTCCCTCCCAGGTCAGACCAAATTGCAGAACAGCTGTTGGCCAGATTGTCAGAGTCACTCTCCTGGTCTCTCCTTTCTACCTAGCTCACTTCTTTTAAGTTAATGGAGAAGATCTACATCTTCTGATTGCAACTAATCATTGTATAACCCAAATATAATTATCTTCAAGCTGGCAAGGTAGTATTACACTCTAAATACTAATCTGATCTTGCTAATAGTGGACATGATATATCCGAAATAGTTTTTGTTACAGGGAGTAGCAGGAGCCTGGGCTCGGTCACCTCTGAATATTTGTGATCTAACTAACTGTCCTTGCCTTTGATTCATGGTCTAATAAGCCAGACTTATATCAGAACTGGCTTTGGTAATCCTTTCCTTCTGGAACCACAGAGATCCAAGGTTCCTGGAGTTAGCGGAAGTCCGAGTCCACCACAGAGACATAGTAGGGAGGGACCCCTCCTCAGAATAGAAGAGGATGAGATAAACTCTAGCTTAGTCTATAAATGTCTCTTACACTCCAATGCTGGGATGCTCAAAAGTTCCATCCAGGCAATGGATAAGAAGACTGAGTTGGCATTGAGAGATGAAAACAAGTGGCAGATGGTACTGAAGAACATCCCGGGACTAAAGAAATGTGGTTCCCAGAAAGGGAAAAGGAAAGATATTGGCAAAGTCTTACTCAGCAACTGTGACAGCCTGGCCAGAGAAAGCTGCGCAATACAGCTGAGAATGCGTCTGTGGTGTCAGGGATACTGAGGGGCTCAGACACTGTTCTGTCCCCTCTTCTCATCTCCTTTACCATACCCACAGTAAACGGCCCTGAAAACCAGGCTGGACTGGTCACGAAATGCAGGGGATGGAAGAAATTAGAAAGTGGTCCCAGCTACTGTACAGCTAGGGAACTCTACTTAGTATCTTATAGTACCCATAATGCAAGAGAATGTAAAAAAAAAATACACACATAGATATATGTATGTATGTATGTATTTTGGCCATGCCACATGGCTTGTAGGATCTTAATTCCCCATTAGGGATTGAACCCATGCCCCTCACAGTGAAAGCATGGAATTCTAAACACTGGACCACTGGGAAATTCCCTGTATATTTTATGTGTATGTGTAACTGATTCACTTTGCTGTACACCTGAAACTGACACACCATTGTAAATCAACTATATTTCAATACAAATTTTTTTAAAAAGTGGTTCCAGAAACCTGAGGAATTGCCATGGCCAGCCTTTTTTCAGTAATAAGTAGTGACAAATAGTGACACAGTCTCTTGGGTGTGTTGTCCCATACTGAATCCAGCCCAGTAGAGCAGCAGGAGAGGTGTGGAGGCCAAGTGACCTAGGGTTTGTGTGGCCTAAGCCCCGCTGATTCTTGACGTCCCCAGGTGCTAGAGGTAGTGCGAGCCAACTATGACACACTCACACTGAAGCTGCAGGATGGCCTGGACCAGTACGAGCGCTACTCGGAGCAGCACAAGGAAGCCGCCTTCTTCAAAGAGCTGGTGAGTGAGCCTTGCCTCTGTCTCTGCCTGTGTTTGTGGACGGCCCTTCCCCGCCACTGGGTTCTACTCTACAGGTGGGTACAGGCTGATGAAATAAGATTGGAGGGGCCTGATTGAATTGGGTTTGCTACTTCTGTCCCACAGCAGTCCAGGAAGGACCAGATGGTAAGAGACAAAGATACTCACCAGAGTATTTGTGCCAGGCTGGGAAGGGTGAGAAGCTTGAGGCAGCAGTGCCCACCTCTCCTCTGCAGCCATGGAGATAGCTCTGTGCAGCTTCAGCTAGGCCTGGAGTTTGATGTGCATTCCCAGTGGCAGCTCTGGCTCATTACTCCTTATCCTATCCTCAGAACAACTAATGGGAGTAATTGATTCTTCTCCTCCTTATGTAACCACTTTGCTAAATTCCTAACTGGGTCCTGGTCTGAGTGCCCTTCCAATCTAGATCTCCAGTCTTTACTCCCTACCCTCATTCCCACTTTCCAGTCACTCAGCTTTCTGCAGCCCCTCCCTTGGCCATCTGAAGCCAGTGAACGCTTGTTCTGTCTCCTCCTCCACCTCCCAGTTGACATCTCCACAGAACTGGACCACCCTATTAGTGGTCCCTTTTCCTGCCCTGCACTTAGAAATTGCCCTCAGGGAAAGCCCAGTCTGGGGCTGGGGTCTGAGACCGGGGCACACAGGCCTCTGTACCCACTTCCCATGTCCTCAGACCTCCCATTGCCAGGGAAGAATTTGCATCAGCCCAGCTTTTTACTTACCCATGCCTAGTCCGTGATGAAGGTGCTAGCTTTAGGTCATCTGTCTTGTGCTAAACCCAGCCCAGCTCTGACCCTGACATGCCATTCCTGGGATTTGGGCCTTCCCCAGGGTGAGGCATATATACTCTGAGCTGAGATAGTGGGCAGCAGGGAAGCCACTAGGGTAAGGAGATAGCAGAATATAGTACTTTTATGGGGCGGTCGGCAAATATTCAAGTTGATCTAGGGGTCAGGTCTTAAGAGATTAAGTTACTAGGAGATGAAGAGGACTGAAGAGGAGAAACATCAAAAGCTGTCTTGAGGCTTTGAGGCACTAGTCTGCACCTTACTTGTGTCTCCGCATAGCTGTACCACTGGCATAGGGGAGCTCAGAGGGTCTGGTTAGATTTGGAGCTAATGAACTTGGGCAGCCTGCTCTTTGCCATGCTGGCCTTTCCTCTGCTTACTGCCTGATGACTTCATTATGTTTCCCATAGCACAGCAGAGACGGAAGAAAAGCTTCCTGGGCTTTGGGGCCTAAGACAGATACACGTTCTTTGTCCCCTTCCTCCCCCACTTTGTCTCTAGGTCAGTGTTCACATCTGTTTCCAATGAATGAATCCATCTGCTGGTTACTCTTAGAACCCACTCAGAGCAGGGAGTTCGGCCCTCCGACCCCTTTCCCCTGCTGACACAGACAGGACTTCCTGCAGGGTTCTCAGTCTCGGGGTAGAAAGCCATCAGTGGAGGGAAGGTTGTGAGAATACAACCAGACTTTCCTCTAAAGCAGGCAGGCACTTTGGGGTATGGAGAGTGCTGGCCCAGGAGCTGAGAAACTAGGTCCTCCTCCCACAGCTGGGACTTGCTGGCTGTTGGCCTCTTTGGGTTGTGCTCCTGCCGTCCATGCCAGACAAGGGCTGCATCTCCAAATGTCCTTTCCAACCAGAAAAGTAGATAAATACAGAAGGAGGTTGCGAAGAGCAAAAAAACGCCCACAGAGAGGGAGCTCCAGAGCAGGAGTTCTCTGGCTTCAGTTTCTCCTCCTCCACTAGACCACTGACTGGACCAGTCCCCCTCAGCCTGGCCAAGGCAAGGCCAGAGGCCTGACCTCGGCGCTCCTTCGCTGCCTCTGCTTGTCTCTGCCTCATCAGGTGCTCAGATGTTCTTCTCACAGCCACTCGAATTCTTTCTCTCAGCCTCTCTTTTCTTCCTGCCATCACAGAACTGTTCGCTCACTTACCTGCAGGGATGATAGATGCTAAGAGTTCATTTCCTGAGAGAAATTTCTAGCACTGCATCTTGGCCTTGTGCTTCAGGCACTGCCCTCTACTGTTTGTAATGGACTTTCTCCTGTTTTTTCTCTGCCTGTGCCCTTCCACCTCCCCTCACCTTTTCCCAGGTTCGATCCATTAGCACCAACGTCCGGAGGAACCTGGCCTTCCACACACTCAGCCAGGAAGTCCTGCTCAAGGAATTCTCCACTATCTCCTGAAGCTGCCACGCATACCTGAGCAGCCACTGACTGCCCTTACCCACGAGGCTTCTGGGCTGGAGGGCAGGCCAGGGGCGAGGGCCTGTTCCCAAGGTTGGAGAAAAACACAGACACCAAGTTCTCTCAGTGGAGGCCACACTTCGCTGGAGCTTGGACAGCAGGGGCCAGGATGGGCAAGCCAGGGATAATCTTATTTGGGGAAGGGATGAGTGGGCACAGGGAGACACCTTCAGAAATGTGGGGATTTCTGGGGGTGGGCTTTCTGGACAACCCTTCATATTTCCAATTGAGATTATAAGTTATGGCTACTAATTGTCAGGAGCTATTGGGCAAACCTCAGGGTGATGCCCACATCCATGGGGTCAGTGGCTCACCTAGGCTTCTGAAAACAAACTAACTCTCAGATGTAGGTGGAGCCAGTTCTGCTTTGAGCCCGGGGCTGAGCCGGCCCTGAAATCTGTGTCCCATGCCCCCACCGGCACTTTGTCCAGTCATTAGGACCCTTAGCTCAGGCCTTGGATGGGGTAGTTATGGGGTACCTTCTTTCTATTTTCTGAATCCAGAGCTGACTCCTCTGCTGTCTGACCACCACTTTCTGCATTTGATTCTTGGCACCAGGAGTACCTGTGAGTGTTCCCCTGCCTTCCAGCCCATTGACTCTTCAGCACCACAGGGTCACAATCTTAGCTTTTCATTTTCAATCTGGTTTAAACTGTCTTTAGGGTATGTGTGTGAAATAAACATTGACAGGTTTTCTGAAGCCCTCAGGTGCCTACTTTGCTGGTTCCCTTTCCAGCAGCTTCCCCACCTCCTTAGCCACCCCCTCCTCTGGGAGCCTCTCTTGCCTCTACTGAGCTCCCCTCCACGTGTTCCACCCCCTCACCCGGCTGTTGTTTACATCCAGCCTGCCTGAGAATTTCCTCTGGGGAGGAATCTGTTCCTGTGGTGGTCTGGTGCCTGAAAGGGAGAGAGCTTGCCAGGGCCAGGCTCTGGAACAAGCCAGGTGAGCATCATGGAAAGGCCGACCTTTGGGAAGTTGGCCTGTGTTTCCGCCTCTGGACAGCCTTCATGGGACTACTGCTGTAGGCTTTCCCCGCCCCACAGCTGCCTTTGAAGTAGCTGCTCCTCTGAGCCCCTTCCTTTCTAAAGCACTTTTTAAAGCCTTCAGGATGGCAGGGAGCAAGCAGCATAGGAAGAATCTGGAAGTAAATGCCAGAATCCAGCTGGGAGAGCAGGTCTGGGACCTCCCAGGCTACTCTTCCACTTCAGGTGTCTTTGGGATACTTGCCCTTCCTGGGAACCAGAGTTCCAGCTCCAACACTGAGCAAGTTCCAGAGAATCCATATCGTGCTGCCACGTATAATTGTAGATTCTTAAGATATCGGGGCTGGGTCATCTCTGATGACTAGATGGATAGTTCAGCCTGGGGCATTTAGGGTTTTCCACATTGATGAACCTCAGAGGAGCAGGAGCTGGAAGCTGGTGGCAAGTTGAAGTTATTAAAAATTGATTTGTATGGGACAGACTTTCTAGTGTCTTTTCTACTTCTCCTTAATCTCTGTTACTCAGAACTTCTTCAATGACAGAGTTAAGGTAATCTCCCAGGTGCTGGTCTCATCTGGCTAGGGAACCCCTTATAGGCTCTGTTCCTCAGCCTCCTAGTCTTAGGGGAAGCCAGTTCAGTTCAGAAGTTGGAGCCTTCCTTGCCTTTTGAGTGGAAGGAAGAAGGGAATCCCTCTACCTCCACGTGTGGTGTTAAGGAGGCTAACCAGCCTATTTGGGCTACTTCTGGATTCCTTTCAGGCTTCCCTGTGAAGTGAATAAAGGCAGGTTCAGGGTGTGGGGCAATAAACAGAGCACTTCTTGCCCTCCATTTTAAGGACCCATCTCTTGGCCCATTTAAATACGCCTATGCTCAGAACTCCACATAAGAGTCCCATCTTTTCCTAGAATTTAACCCCCAAAGGAGCTGCCCATGCCCTGTCCATGCACCCATGTCTATACCAGGTCTGTAGCAGACCCTCCAGAGTCAGGGGAAAGCCAGGAATAGGGCATTGCTCCCAAAAATAATCCTTCCTTCAGCTACTTGTCCCTTTCTCATGCCTGAACTCCCACCACAATTCCTGCTGGGTTAATTGAATCAAGTGCTTGGAAATTAATCCAATTGAAAAGATTAAATGTGCTGGGGTCACTTCAGCTGAAGCTTTCCGTCTCAGCAGGTTACTCCTCTGGGGGAGCAATTGGTAGGCAGGATTACCTGGGACACTGCCACCATACCATGAAGACACATCAGACATTGCCCCCCACCAATTCTCATGACACTTGGGGGGTTCATGGGGTTGGAGCCCAGGAAGCATTGTGGGGAACATCCGACAAGTAGGCTCAGCCATTCAGTCGCCATTACTGGGAGCTGGAGATAGCCCAACTCTATGCCTGCCCCTTGCTTCAGAAAAAGGAGCTAATCTAAGGGAAGGAGCCTCATAACAAGGACATTGCCTCTCACCGTTGCCTGCATCCCCAGACCCCTTAATTATTTCCAAAATCCTCTGGAAATCAGAGGGAATCTAGGACAGGGCAGGTGACAGAGTAGAGCAGGGGGCAGGAAAGTTGAAAGAGAAAAAAAGGAACAAAAGAGCGAGAAAGTCTTGAGAAATTGACCTGGTTCAGTCTTTATTTTCTTTTTCTTCCCAGTTGGCTAGCAGAGGTCATTAGATCATGGAAGAAGGCACCCTGAGAGCAAATAGGACCCAGAGACAGGGTTTTGCAGTGGGTGAGGGTAGGGGTCCTTATGAGAGAAAACTGTAGTCCATTGGCCTGAGATGAGCCTGCCTTAAAGGCTGGTTGACCTTTACATCCCCATTCCCCCTTCAAGCGGGCAGGGCAATGGTGGGGGCAACAGAGACTCACACATCGGCAGAGAACCACAGAGAAAACGGGCTGACAGGGAGCTGGCACAGACATACCCCGGCCAGTGCTGAGGGTAGGATCAGGAGTGCTGAGAATCGGCCGGGGAATCCTTACAGTGGGGCCTTGCTGGCCCTGCACCCTCCTCCACCCCCAAGACCCGGGGATTCAGGTTTAGGGGGTAGTGTTGCCAGAGAGCTGGTCTCCTTCCCCGCACTTCTCTGTTCACCCTTTCACCGGGTGCCTCCCCCGAGCTGCAAAGAGGAGGGGGAGGGGGGGAGGGGGAGCCAATCCCGGCAGCGCCAAAGGGGGGAGGTGGCGGTGACAGCCGCGGGGAGGGGGCGGGAGGAGAGGAGAGGCGGCTCGGCTCCAGCTCCGCGCTCTTCTCCGCTCTGCCTCCGGCTCTGCGCTCACCCACTGCCCAAGCCTGCCGCTCCTGTCCCAGTACACCCAGGTGGGCCCTGGACACCGGAGATCCCCTGGCTCCTCGCCCCAGCCCGGACTCTCCGTACCCCAGCCCCCGAGAGCGCGCTGTGCCACCAGGGGGCGCCGTGTGAGCTCCCTATCCCGGCCACCCGGCGCCCCCTCCCACGGCCCAGGTGGGGACGGGAGGGGGGCGCCGGGGGCCATGCGGGGCCAGAGCCGTAAGGAGAGTTTGTCCGATTCAAGAGACCTGGACGGATCCTATGACCAGCTCACGGGTGAGTCGGTGGCTTGGGGGTCGCGGGGGGGGGGGGGGGGGTAGGTTCCATCTCCCCTAACCCTTAAGCTCCTCTGATCCCTGCCAGGCCCTTACCCACACTCTGACCCATTACCAGGCACCCTCCCAGCAGTTCTGGGCAACAGGACACTGAGGTTCAAAACCTTGGGTCCCGCGAGGGATGGGGATTCAGGGGAGAGCAGGTGGGCAGAGGCAGCAGGTGTGGGAATGCGTGACACAAGGCTAGGAGGGGGTCTAGAGTGGGAGGTGTTACGTGCGTGAGCGCCTGTCATTCTGTGTCTGTGTATATGTGTGTGTGTGCGCCTCCCACAGCTGGTTGCCATGTGCCCTGGGCTTGGTGACAGCCTGAGTTAGTGTGATTGCGTGTGATTGTGCAATTGTATGATCCTGTCAGATGTTTCAGTGAGGTTGTGTAGGACCCAGATTGTACTAATGAAGTTGTTTTGACCATGTATCTCTGTTCTGTGTGCAACTCTGCTTTGGGTGTGTGATTCTGTGTGAAATGCCATGTGACTTACCAGTATGTGTCAGGTTTTCACTTTATGGTGGTATGCCTGTTTGTAAGACTTTGTGACTGTGAACCTCCTGGGACAAGCATGTGTTAAAGTGGGCTGTGTTGTGTTTTGTAATTGTGAGACTGGGTATATTGGTGTTTGATACTGATTGTGTGCTTTCATGTGGTGATGTCTGCAGTGGGGCTCTGTGTCTATGACATATCTTACCCTTGCTGCCTCTCTGGCTTCTTGGTGCAAAAAGGGGTCCTTGGTGCACACCACTGGTTCTCCATGTTTTCCACAAACAGCCCAGTGAACCCAAGGAGGGACTCACTTCCATCTACCCAGCCTGGCTTCCAGCAGTGACACCCAGCTTCTGTGGGGAGGCTCTGGTTAATGCTGGGTCAGTGCCCCTACCCAAAGTATTTAGAGATCATTCTTAACAACTGAAGCTCCTTCAACCCCCAACAGCCCTCCCAAAACTTCACCCAAACCTGGAGGAAAACACACCCTCTTGCTTCCCCTCCAGACCCAGAGATAGAAGCTCTAGGCCTGGGAAGTGCCATGTGGCCTCTTCTTGTAAGTATCTTCCAAACCGTTTTGCTGCCCAGGCATCCTCTCGCTCCCACACTGGGAAGATATGTGAGGCCAGTACATCTGTGCCTGTGCGTATTCCTGGGTTTGGTAGGCAGATCCATGTGTTTGTGTGGGTGACTGTGTCACCTTGTGTACATTTTCCATGTACATGTGTTTCTGTCTCATTGTGCAGCCAACCCAAGAACTCCAAGAGAGAACAGGAGGAGGGAGACTGTCTCCCCTGTGTCTGAAGACAAGCTGAGAAGGTGAAGGGAGGCCAACATCCGTGCCTGTCTTGAGAGGAGTGAGGTTAAGACTTGGGGATGCCAAGAGGACTAGGTGTGACTCACCGACCCTGGAGAGGTTCTAGTCCCTAAGCCCAGACTCCCAGAAGAGGGAGCTCTTCCACTCAGGCAGGCCTCACATGTGACCTAGATGAGCTTCAGACCCGGGTAGATTCCAGAGGTCCAGCTGCCAAGCTCTGCTTTTAATTCTGTTCTCACCAACTCAGGATCCTTGAGAGTAGCAAGTGCCCCAGGGCCCTTATTAGCACCACATCGGTCAGTATTTGCTTCTTGCTTTAATTGATTCTTCCGCTTCACTTGGGCTTCAGTGGTAAAGAATCTGACTGCAATGCAAGAGACCCGGGTTCGATTCCTGGGTTGAGAAGATCCGCTGGAGCAGGGATAGGCTACCCATTCCAGCATTCTTAGGCTTCCCTTGTGGCTCAGCTGGTAAAGAATCCGCCTGTGATGAGGGAGACCTGGGTTCAATCCCTGGATTGGGATGATCCGCTGGAGAAGGGAAAGGCTACCCACTCCAGTATTGTGGCCTGGAGAGTTCCATGGACTTTAGAGTCCATGGGGTCGCAAAGAGTCGGACACGACTGAGTGACTTTCACTTTCACTTTCCCCTTCAGTGGAATCATGCCCTCCCCACTTGGCTGTTTGAATCAGAGATTAGGTAGAAGTGGGGAAGCCCTTGTACTAGAAGATGAAGGAATGGAAGTGTGAATGCCAGCTCTGTTTGACTTTTGCTCTCTGGGCCTCACTTCTCTCATCTGTAAAATGGGAAATACTACTTTCTACCTCCCTATAGAAAGTTCAAAAGTTGACAAGCATCAAGAATTGTGTTCAACGTCAGCATCCACACGACTTGGAAAGTGGGAATAAACACTACCAGGAGCTCTCCTTTCTAAGGAGGACTTATCTTTAACAGGAGATAAATGGGGTTGGGAAGCCAGTATTAAGGCCTTGGGTGTCTGGAGACGCTTGAACTGAAGCCCGAGGGGAAGTCGTTGTCCGCGGTGCTGAAGCACGTGAAAGGCGGAAGTGCAGCACTGCTATTCAGGTTTCCAATGTTACTTGTGCAGGCGGGATTCCTTGGATGGAACCTGGGGGTAACCTTCGATTTCAGTCATCCAAGCCTATCAGGCTGACACGGAGGAGGGGGCGCTAAAATCATACCTCAGGGCATTCTGGGTTGCCCCAGCCGCTTTCCTTACTAGCACACCAGGCTCAAAACAAATCTGAGAGACTTGAGGAGAAACCAGTCTGAGCCCCGCCCCGCATTCAGCCCCTCCAGTCTTACCAGCCCGTCAGGACCGTTTGGCAGTGCGACGAGGTGAGAAAAGGCAGTAATCAGCAGTCGTTCTGTCCAAGCTGGAATCAAGGAAAGAAGAAGATGGGAGAGTTGGGACCTGGCTGGCCAAGGCCTGAACTCGGTCCTGGTCTGAGATCGGAGTCGCTTCTGTCTGGCCATAAATATTGTTCCGAGATTGGGGCGCCCCCGTGTGGTCTTAGTGAAACCATGCCTGCAGAGCTGATTCCAGATGGGGATGTGGCCAGATTTGGTTCCACGAAGTTCAGAGGTGACTCTCGCCTCCTAAATGTAGGATTTTCAGCTAAAAAATATGGAATCCCAGTCGGAGGAGTGGGATCCCCGTAAGCTCTGTTAGAAGGTGTTAGTGGGCCCTGGAAGGGTTTACTTTGGTTATAACCAGATAGGGGTGAGTCTATGAAAGGGATCAGGGCCAGGACTTCGGATAAGGGGGCTTTTCCTCGATGCATTTGGCTGACAATCGGCATGTAATGGGAGTGTGTGAACCCGCTGAACCAGGACATAGCGACACAGAACAGTTCTGTGCCAGACATTCAGAGCCAGAAGCCAGAGATAGTAAGGGCATGTCCCTGCCATCCCTCTGCCACCCCAATACACTGGTCATTTCCTCCTCTTCCCTCCTACTCTCGTGCCCATTGGTCCAGGAAGTATGGAAGTGTGGGAAGTTGCCATGACAACTAAGTCCTCTAACCCTTCCCCTTCTCTGTCAAAAATGGGAAGAGAAGGGGGCGACGCAGCAATAAAAGATAATGTTTTCGCTCTCTGGATCCTTTTTCAAAAACCATGGGTGCTCCCTTCCCCACCGGAAATTCAGAAAATGTTCCCAGAGAAGGCTCTGAGGGAGAGTCCGTGCTGCCCCTTTCCCGCCCCTCCCCAGTCTG